TATCTTACAATGCAATTTTAAGTAAATCGTATCTTAAAATATGAGGACAGTAGTCTGGTAAAACGTCATCACGGTTTAGTCCTCACACTTTCCATTAATATAGTAAAACTTTTACTATACTTTACTATTATTATGGATGTAGATTTTACAGTTTTAAAATTAGTTTAGTTAGGCATGAATACCCAACAATTAAGGATTGTTATCAAATAGAGAAGTAGAAATATTGAATTTTTTTCAACAAATTTATTAAAAAAATTAAACCAAACTTCATTTAGTAGTTAAAGGTATTGTTATCGATTACGCTATACTGAATAGGATATTATTATTAAATTAAAGATCATAACCAACAACTTGTGGCCGTTCAAAAGATCCGTTTAACATTATCGAATTTCCTCTAAATTACGCCATCGTTTATCATATACCAAAAAATCAAGGTTAACATTTGGAATTTGCTTTGGGTGATCTGTTGATTAATTAATATCCTATGACTAATGTCTATTAACGGCTATTTGTGGGTGAAATATTATACGGGAAGCATTGATATTTTGTGTAACGTTTATTGATAAATATTTTCTTTAATTATTCATATCTGTTAGTAATTCTTTGAAAAATGTTATATAATTCGAAATGGAAAATGACTTACATACCCGCGGACCAGATGAAAATAAAATAAAGAGGTGCAGTTTTCTGCGCTCTGTAACTTTATTACACGTAGAGGACTATAGGTTCCAGAATCTGTTGAGCCCCAGAACCCTACATAACCTATTCAGTGGGTACAACAAACAGTGATTTTGTACTTTAGGTTTTGGAGTAAAAAGTAAGCGGTAACTGCTATGTAACACAAACTGTGGACCCAAAAACGGCACCCAAATTCTACCAATGTTTTTATCGTACGCTGCTTGTTACGTTCAACCGTGTTATTGGTTATCGCAAGTCCACTTTGGAAGTAGATATAACTTTGAACTATACACAGCATACAATGAACTCAAGATCATAACATCCATAAAGATCGCACGTCTGCGCTGGATGGGCCATGTTGAACGTATGTTGGAGACTGAAACGCCAAAACATATAATGAGGCAAACACCAGTAGGGAGAAGGTCAAAGGGAAGACCCAAACTTAGATACATGGAACAAGTGGAACAAGATCTGAAAACTGGAAAAACTAAAGCAAGGAACAGAACAGAATGGCGGAAAATCCTAGAACAAGCCAGGACCCAGAAAGGGTTGTCGAGCTACTGATGATGATGATGATGAAGTCCTCTTTGGATCGCGGGACTTGTATTTGCAAGATAACCACCTGGTTTGAAAGTGTTACAGCGAATTGTGTGCTTCAATTTTATAGTCCTTGTGTACATTTTGTATGCCTTACTTTCTTTTATAAAAAATAAATCATAAAATAGATTAAGAAGAAAAATCCGCTGTTTAAAGCCTACCTATAAGAAGGAAGAAGAAGAAGCAATCGAAACAAAGCGCATAGTGAGATGTAGAGACGCATGCAAGGCTAGTGTATTATTTGTGATAATATGATGACATTATCTAATCAGGATACCCTAGAATAGGCTTAGAATAGATGGAATAGATTTAGGAAATCTTGGGTAATTTGGCTTGCAATGGTAAAAAATGCTGAGAAGGAATTAAAATCAATATACAACATATATTTTTATACAGTGTGGAAACCACTTATGGAATAAAATTGTTTGTGTCCTTATTTTAGAAAATAATAAAAAACTCTGGGACAAAAAAAAGAGTAAACCGACAAAACTGTAGATATTGGTCAGCGGAGAATCCTCATTGGATGCGTGAAACACACACTCAGTATCCTAAAACGTTGAATGTTTGGGCAGGTATTATAGGAGATCATATTATAAGTCCTATATTTGTAGATGGTAATAATATTTAAGCATGCTAAGAGACGATGTTCTTCCTCAGTTGGCTTCAGAGTGGACCATAACCTCTTTTGGTATGCAGAACGGGCGATGCCGGCTGGGTGGCTACGATCATCACGCAACCAAACCCCCCTTATCCGGAAACCGGCCTGATCCTGCTGGTCTGTTCCTCCCCGTTCAGATCCGGAAAGTAACAGACCAGCAGCGTATGGCCCTTTTTGGTCCGTTGTTTGGCCAGATTTCATCATGCGAGAGTCCGACCATCCTCCTCTGTAATCCCATCTGCCCTTGTGATAAAATTGTGGACGTCGAACCTTGAAATGTCGGTTTAAAATTCTCATGACACGAGAATTCGATTGACACCATGTTCCGCGAGCTCACACGATTAAATGTGCCATGAAAATATGTTTCCCTGTATATCGGGTGTACATGGTCTGAAGGAATCGAGGCTCTGTGTACAGCGCTGTTTTATTAGCAGCGGCTGTACTAAGGGGTTCAGGACCCGCCCAGCTGACGGCAACGTCCACGACAATTACAGGCTCACCATGTTGCGCGACAAGGTCAGGTATCTTCAGAGTCCCGACGGCGCATCTTATTCGCGGCTCAACCTCGCAAATCCACCATTTCTTTTCAGCTGCTTAATGTAGATACGTAACGAGCTGGTCGTGTCTTTTAATTCGGTGCCAATGTGATGCGGAGCACTTTTGCAAAACGTGGCTAAGGCTCTCGTTACGTTCGCATCCCTTTCGGCACCTCCGTTCATGTGGTGGATTTGAAGCGATGCCTTTATATATAGTTGGCAGTAGCTTTCCTCGCAGCTGGATTGCCTTGACAAAATCTCTCCCCGGCTAGTAAGGCGGTGGATTGCTTATCCAGGCTGAGCTTTCGGAGTGTGAAGAGCCTTGCCGAAGTCCGTTTCTACTATAGCCGTTCTCAAGTTTCTGGCTCAACTAACGTGCGATAGATGCTGAATTAATTGCCTGATGATGGTCTTGTCCATTTAAGGATCTTCTCCCAGAGACGTGACATATAGTAAATATGACGAATCAGTAGCTGAGCTGATTAATTTAGTCAATCTCCTTCCCATGATAGCCGGGACGTGCATGGCCATGGCCATGACGCCCAGGCCATCCACTTTTATGGGAGCGTGGATGTAAGCATCTGCACACGTACGATTGAGGGACAGAAACTTCCGAACGGCTATACGCACGGACCTGTCAACGCCCTTCATCTTCTTTATGGTGATGGTTGGACTCTGCAACTTGTCGATATACTTCGGAAGCAAGTATGTTTTTAAAACCATCAGTTTTTGCGCTGGTTTTAGCCCCGCTCGATGAATACGATCGAGATGTGTCTGCTTATATCCCAATCCAATAAATCCGACCCTCCCACATGAAACTGTCTGGTTCCAGCAGGATAACACTCCATTATGCTTTAATCGTGAAAAATTACTTTGAATAAAATCTTTTTCAATAAATGGATTGGACAAAGGGGTACTATTGAAGGGCCAGCTAGGTCGCCAGATCTTACGCCTTTAATTTTTTTCTGTGGGGTTATCTCAAGAACAACGTATATGCAACACAACCAACTGGCATTGAAGAAGACCTCAAAGAAAGGATAACTACAGAAATACGGAATATTTCACCTCAAACTTTAAACAAAGTTCGAGACTAGTTTTATAGGAGACTGTGTTATTGCCAACAACAAGGTGGAGAACATTTTGAGCATTTATTTTAATGTTGTCCAATCAATTACCTACATGATATAGTTCGTTGAGATCAGGCTTTTTAAGGAGCTTTTAAAAACAAAATATACAGAGTGTTTTATTTAAAATACAGATTATGGACTATGCCTGACTTGCGTGGATCACCCTGTACATTTAAATTTATGTTTAAAAGCGCACATTTAAATTGAAAAGTTAAGGTATCTCAACGTTTTATTATTTTCTAAAATAAGGACACAAACAATTTTATTCCATAAGTGGTTTCCACACTGTATATTAACAATGTACGAGATAATAATAAAGCCAGAAAAGAACTGTGCCAGAAATATTTTCAAAACAAGAAGTTCATTTAACACATTTGTGCATTTCTATATTATTATAATCAAATATCCAACCTGTTGTTGCTCATTCTTCAACGTTAGTTTCCTATGAAGCATTAATTTCTCACCTACGTAGATATTATTATGTAAATTGTGTGTATTATATAACAGGACAGACTGGTTTCATTTGAACCGTGTAGGTTGAGGTATTAAACGACGGATAGAAAATAGAAACCCATCTATTACTACTTTCTTTATAAACGGTATATACTTAATCAGAAAATAATGCATATTAAGATGAAAGTGTTGTTCGAAATTAATAAAAGTGGTTACCTTATTCATTATTGAAGAAATTGAAATAACTAGTTTTTATTTATTACTATTTTTATCTTAGTCTGTTCAAGCATTCAATTAATAATGGCTTATGGATTTGTGTGTAGGAGTAAGTCTTTAAATATGGTGATCCAACTTATTCCTATTTAGTTTACATATGCAGACCTTTTTTTACAAAATAGTCGCATCAACCTCTGAGGTTATTAGCGACATATATACATATACATTACATAATTTATTTGCAAATGTTAGATTTTGTTAAATACATTGATATCTTTAAGAAATTTTACCAAATCTTCAATTTTACAATTTTCTCCTAAGATTTCACTTGTTGATCCGATGATGTGGTTGTTCTGTCTCTACAACTGGTATCTTGGGCACTCTACAATTACATGCTTGACGCTTAGTGGGATATTACAGTTTTCACATAAATTGGGAGGCACATAAATTATTCACATAAAATTATTTACGGGAGGCCTATGTCCAGCAGTGGACTCAAAACGGCTGATGATTAGGATGATAATTAAAAGACAAAGGTATTTCAGAACTCACAAAAGAACCCTGAGAATAAATTTGAACATATGAATTACAATTTGGCTTGTGTAATTAATATCATTGAGATATTTATTGAATACAAAACTGATTAAATTCATAAAATCAGTTACTGTATATATATTTATATGTACTGCAGATTTTTAGACGTTTTGAATTTATTTTTTTTTTATTTGTTTCTAGGTAAACGCCAAATACAGCGAAGACTTGGCTAAAGAAAGTCTCGAATGGATCGTCACGATCACAGGAGACGAACTTAACACAGCTGGTGATATGGACAACTTTTATGAAGTACTTAAGGATGGAACCGTATTGTGCAAGTGAGTATTTAACGTAATAGAAAGTGTAATGTACCATTAGGTAACGATTGCTTTTATGGGCATACGGGTACAACAATTGTACCAAGAATGTCAGATAATCTCTACAAAGAACGCCTTTTATACAGGTATATCATTAACATACGGTGTTTAGGAATTTTATATTGCATAAGTCTGTTTGGAAATGATTAAAAAATAGTTTAGAAAGCAAACCGATAGAAAATGTAACATTTTTTTCACTTTAAACCTTTTATTTTATTAAGTACCGTGAATGTTTAATGATCATAATATATTATAATAAAACTACTGAATAGTATACTGGAGTAGAGAAAACAGAAATTTTGTAAAAACTTCAGCTAAGATCGTTGTGTAGCAGATGCGCTTTGTCTGGTATAATTCCTTCTGAAAAACTAATAAAAACAGTAGCTTTTAAGGATGTTCATGAAAGCATCTTCGTAAATTTAGGACTTTAAAATAATTGCAAATACGCATACAACACAGGTAAAAAAATATTTATAATGCAAGTAGGAAAAATCAACCAACGAAATTCAAGAAAAGAACCCAATATGTATCTAATATAATCCTGAAAAAAAAACCAAACCCTCAAGTTCTAGACAATCGCTAGCTAATAAGACCAGTACCTGTTTTCTCTATGTCAAATTTCGTAGAACCATTTCTTTAAATTATGTTTATTTACAATCTACATCATTACAGAGTATTATTATTATTAAGTAAATGTGTTATTGGTTTTGGGCGTGAAGCAGAGACATCCAATGAATCATTCCCATACTACCTCATTTTCATGGTGAATGGTACGTTCATTTAGTGACTCCGTGGCATGGCTCAATGGATTTCTTACTTAAGTTAAGTATTTAAGATTTCTTACAGAAATACTTAAGTTGTAGTAAAGTGTTTGGTTACTTAGATACCATGGTGCATCTAATATCTATCTTAACAATTTAGACTAGAATTTGCACAGCCTCATAGGTGTACTGCGTAGAACCGGATATGTTTGAGTATGGATTTGTATATAAGAATTTTGTTTTGGATGTTAAGTTTTAATTCACGTCCAAGGAGCCAATCATTTATCATCAATCAGCCAATCGCGCCTACTGCTGGACATAGGCTTCTCTCAGTTCTTTCCAGTGTTCTCTACACTGGGCCGCTTGTAGCCAGTTTCCCGCTACACGTTTTATATCATCGGTCCATCTAGTCGGTGGTCGTCCTCGGTTTCTTTTATAGTTTCTGGGCTTCCATTCCATAATGCGTCTTGTCCACCGTCCATCTTGTGTTCTGCCTAAGTGCCCCGACCAGTTCCACTTAAGCGTCGTGGTTCTTTCGATGACGTCTTGAACTCCTGATCGTTGCCTGATTTGTTGGTTTGTTATGTGGTCTCGAAGGATCTCGTTTAGCATTGCACGTTCCATGGCTCGTGGTGTATCTGTGAGTTTATTCGCAGCTTTTTGCGTAAGTGTTAAAGTCTCTGCTCCATAAGTTTGTACAGGCAAAACTCATTGGTTATAAACCTTTCGCTTGAGACACATGGGAATTGAACTTTTTAGAATATTGCTTAATTTGCGAAATGCTGTCCATGTCAGGCCTATTCGCCTCTGTATTTCATGTGTTTGATTGTCTCTGCTTATTTTGATCTCGTGTCCCAGATATTTGTGTCTGCTTGTTGTATGGTATTATTGTCAATAGTTATATTTCCACTCATTACGAGATTTGTCATAAGTTTAGTTTTCTCATAGTTTATCTTTAATCCTGCTCTTTCAGATAGACTTTTACGCGAATGTATCATAGAAACTGTATCTTGTAAATTATCTGCGATTAATACAACATCATCTGCAAACCTTAGATGATTTAATCTTTTTCCATCTATATTGATGCCCATATCTTGCCATTGAGTGTTCTTAAAAGTTGACTCTAGAGCTGCCGTGAACAATTTTGGTGAAATATTGTCTCCTTGTCTAACTCCTCGACCTAAGCTGAATTTTTATGTGTTTTCGTGTAGTCGTATTCTTGGATGTAGCGTTCTCGTAGATGTTTTTTATTAGTGTCGTGTACCTGTACTTTATTCGGTTTTGATTTAGGACTTCCAGTACTGTTTCAAACTCTACAAAATCAAAAGCCTTCTCGTAATCGACAAATGCAAGAACCATTGGTATGCTGTACTCGATGCACTTTTCTATTAAGATCTTTATGGTATGCAAATGGTCATTTGTGCCATATCCTGCCCTGAAGCCTGCCTGTTCTTTGGGCTGATAGAAATCAAGTTTAGGTGTTTTCTTTTGCCAATCAGGAGCCAATAAATTTGCCGATTTTAAGTCGAGCTGTCATCTTTTGGTCTGTGTCTGGATATGTTTCTTTCAAATGAGACGTTGGTCAAGATGGAGGTCAAGGTATGTAGCGTCTGTTACTGTTGGTATTTTACATTTTCCATTTGTTATTTGAGTTGATTTTGTTTTGTTTACTTTTGTTTGCTTTTTTTGTACCAGTCACTAAGTATGTCCAGATTATATTGCAGCTCTTATGAGGCTTGTATGGAATCTTTCTGTACAGCTAGTATTCTTACGTCATTAGTAAAGCAAGCGATTGTGGTAGTAAGAGGTTGGAATGTTGGTTATTGAATTTTACAGAGAAATATCTATTTGATATGTTGGATTTGAGTATTAGGAAATAGTTACTGGATAGTGTAATAGTGTACTATTTTTACTTTGTAAAGCAGACCTCTGTGCCAGAGGTTGACAACCGCTTGTGAGATGTCTAGAAATATTGCGTTGCAATATTTATTTTTTTTTAATACTTTATAATTTGATGGACTTTTTGGGGGTGAAGTGATTTACCCGAAAAGCAAACTGCTGTTTTGCTAGTAATGTTGAAATTCATGATCTGCGTATATCCTTCATAGCAGCAATCTTTTAATAACTTTGCTTGCGGTTGGGAGTAGGTTGATAGGTCGGTAAGATGTTACTTCATCAGATTATTTTCCTCGCTTAAGGACAGTAATTATTTCAGGGAAATTCCATATTTTTAGAAAGTATGATAAGCTGTATTTGTCTTTCGATGTTTAATATTATTCCTGGTTCATTTTGTATCCTAATAGGATATTGCCCATGTCATACAAAGAGCAAAGAGTACGTAGCAATCAAGCAACTTAGGTGTACATACACAGATAAGAAACTCTGGCTGCTTTTTTGGGACATGTTTTAGATCACTGTATTGATTCCCCTGTAGGAGAGGAATTGGGTTTTTATCGTTTTGCACGATTTTTTACATTTTACATATTACTCGTTTGCTTGGGTTTAGCTGTTGGATATAATCTTCCCATAACTGGTTTCTCTGTTCTAGTAGTTTTTGTTTACACTAGCAGCTTAGCCAATTTTCCCTGTTATAGCTCTTCGTCTCGCTGTTTTTACGTTATAAGCTTCTTTAATTCTTGCTCTGGTGATTGGTGTCTCTTCAATTGTAGTACTACTTTCTAGTGCATTAGCTATTGCCTGCTCAAATTACTGACGTTTTTAGTGAAATTCTTTTGTTTTCTCTTTATTTCTGGAATATTTTCTATTTTCACTGACTATTTTTCTAAAAGTGCTCCATTTTATGCTCTTTTTGTAGTATTCTTGTGCAGTTTCTATTTGTCAGTCTTCTACGTCTTTTGTAGTTGGTCACCTACTTCTTTAGATTTCCATTTTTAGTTCTATGTTTTTTACGATTGCTAGGTCTAGATGTGTGGGTAATCTGTCTCTTCCAATAAAATGCTTAGAATCTATGGATTTCAACAATTGACAATTGTTTTTAATCTATCAAGACAATTATTGAGCAATACTTTTTCGGTTAGTTCCATGTTATTCCAATTTGGAGATCTTGCATTTAGATTTCCTATATGGTGTCTTTATGTTGCGTCTGTGTTTAAGATGACCTATAGATGGTATTCTTCAAGGACCACTTCCCGTGGTATGTGTCTAGTCTTTCTACTATTTCCTCAATGACGTTGGTGGTTGGTTTTATTCTTTCTGAATTCCAGGAATCTATCATTAGTATCCCTTTCTACTTATCTTAAAGTAGGTATAATACCTACACCACTGTTCATAGTAATAATTCAACTTTGGATTTTTTGAGATTTTTGTCATTTTTTTTCCTACTCTCGTATATGGAGAGATTTTCTAGCGTATTTCTTCGCTAACTATACATGTATTTAACTTTCATATTTTTATGATTTTTTTAGCGCTAGTTTTTAGCGCAATAGTTTTTTTATTGTTAAGTTTTGGCCTTTAGGTTTTAATTATTTTTCTCTTTTCACAAAAATATAGTGTACAGCCCAGACGCTGCCTTTTTTAGTTTTTTAAAATATTTTTTCATGTACTTTTTTACAGTTAGTTACAAAAATTTTACCTTGTAAATATTTACTTATTCCAAGCACTTATACTTTTCATTGAGGAATGTAGTTTTTAGCACTATTTTCAAAGAATGACTCACTTTCTCGCTTTCAATGTTATTTATGTAACTATGTGTTTGGTTGCCTAGAATTTTTAATATCCATGTATGGAATACCATATGGAATATGACTAAGGATTTATTCATCAATTTTTAGTAACATTGTGATTAATCGTAATAAAATTTACAAAACGATGATCTCAGCCGTAACTGACTTTAACCATTTTGGAAAAATACTAATCTTATTGATTAGTTCATGAATTATAATATTTTAAAAAACAAATCAATCAAAATGTTTTGACTTCTAGCAATCGACATTGATAATATCAATTATATTTATAGAAATTATTAATTTTCGTATAAATTATAATTTTTATGTAATATAGCTATTTCTACAAGAAATTCATGAGGAGAGAATTTTAAAAATTGACCAAAAGACAGCCGCAGATTACATATCAATCCTACACATTTCAAATCGTTATTTAGTTTCTCTTTCATTAAGTATTTTCTTGAAAAGTCGTATGGTATCTTGCATTATCTTGCTGAAAACGCCACCCCTCTGGATA